GTCAGAATACCGTGACATTAACAAAGGTTTCTCAAGAGCAGCCTTAACTCTTCTTGTAAGCATTTCTACTAATGATTTTGACACTAGCAAAAAGGCAGACCAGACAAACATAATTGGGAAGCATCACCAGAGAAGACCAAATATACAAGAGGACCAAGGGACTGTGGAAACGCTGCCTAAACTTCAACAGAAAATGGGCTGAATCTTGAGTGATGGTTCAGCCAGAGGTGTTTGCATGTGTGTGTATGCCAAGTCCTTCAGATAGGGAGAGCTCTGAAGAGCACCCTGGTGCCCAAACCATAAGTGGTGCCCAAACCATAACTAGTGCCCAGCTGGTGCCCAGATGCCCTGGAAAGGCTGGAGGCCAGCTGGGCTTGGTGCAGCATCCTTATGACTATGGAGGAATTCAAAGTGTTGTTAAGGACACTGTAATCTCAACTCTTAAAAGGACATCATTTTTAAAAGCATGGCTTTTTTTTTTTCCTTTCTTTTTGAGGGGGAGGGGAGAGAGAGAAATTGGTTGGCAGTATTTTTTGCTCTTACAGTATATGGAATTCAGAATATCTCAGGCCTTGACAACCAAGAAATGAGAAGTTATGAAGTAAGAAAATCCAGATTTAAATCTTCCCCTGCTGAGCTGGCAGTAGCAGCTGAAAATTATTTGCATGCTAAGGTGTAGTTGTACTGAGCAGTGAAAGGAGCAGCTGAAATACCTAAATGGAGCTGTTGGTTGGATTTCAGGAGATTTATTAAACTTTCACTGTTCACCTCATGTACAGTCCTTCTGTGTGTTTCAGCTTCATTTCAGCAGTAAGTGGGGCCCATTTTCTATCTGTAAGATGAATAGGAGAGAGATGTGTGGGTTTGCTGGTATTCAGAAGAAGTGCAGAGTTGGTCGTCGCTCAGGGACAAGGAATTCTAAATGCACATTTCCACCTGGTTGGAGGATATGGAGAAGACAGGCAAACTTGTGCTGGTGCTGCACAGGGAAAGGCGATGGCACTGGGTAGAAAAGAAAAATTCTAGTTGGATGCAAGGAAGAGCAAATTACCTTGGTGCTGATGGGTCATTGGAGGGGCTATAAATGTGTCCTAGAGTGTATGAGACTCGGCTGACCAGTGCTGAGCATCCTGCCCTACTGGACCCTGTCTGGAAGAAGCTGGACTGCAGAGTTCACAGGTCCTTCCCAACATCTACTCTGTTCAAATTCACTTTTCTTGATCAAAAATGTTGGGTTTTATAGTCATAATAAGTGTTATCAGATGGCCAGGATTATCCATGAACTTACAGATCCGTATCTCAGCTGGTTTCTTATAAAACTATATTTTCATGTATTTATTTTTGACAGCAAAAATGTTTTGCATTTTTGTGAATAGGGTTTTGTTTTGCTGCTGTTGGGCTGAGATTTCTGTTGTTTGGCATTATTTTTGGTATAAAAGATTTTGATGTTTGCGTTTATTTTTCTGTGCAGAGGTTGCTATAATCAGATGAAGAATCCGGGTATTTTCTGCAGCCTTTTAGTACCAAAGCCACAAACATCGTAGCCTGGAATGAGGAAACAAATTGGTTTTCAGTGGGTTGCACTGAGGTCCTAAAAGGGGCATCTCTGGCTGCATGGCTTACAGCAGGGCCAGGCCTGCTGTGCTCCTACATCAGTTCTCATAAGGAAATGGTGTTGCAGAAAGGCTAAGGAAAGAGAACAGGCAAGGCAAGACTTAACAGCCTACGTGTATCTGAAATTGTAAATAACTAAAGATAAAAAGGAAATATTCGGGAGAGCGTAGGGGCTTATGGCTAGAAATAAAGCAGTGAAATGAAGAAAGAGAAGATTAAGGCTAAATGTCATGAAAGAGCATTCTGCAACAGTAGTGGTTTTTTAGATGACTCTTCCAAAGAAAGCAAAGAAAAAACTGTCTTAGGACAAAGGCCCTTTATTCCTTTTTCTTTTTTCCCTGTTTCTTTCCTTCAGCTTAACCACTCTATGTAAAATAATCTCATATGGGTATATAAAAGAATGTATTAAATTTTTTGAGGCCTGAATGTGAATCTCTGCATCCTTGGAGCTGTTGTGATGATGCCTGAATCTTGTACAGCTTCACCAAGCCAAAGGCACAACCTTTCTCACCCAGATCTCAGGGCACAAAGTTGCAATGCTGCAGTGCAAGGAGCTGGGCAGGTCAGGATTTACTTCTACATAAGTTGCAAAAAAGAGAGTGTGAAAAACTATGTTTGAGTGCAATGGGATGAGAAGAAAGGAGGAAAACTGGAAGAAATAAAGCTTGTCTGGGAGTCTTGCTTTCTTTTTTGGCCGGGTGTTGATGCTGCCCCTTCATTTATCACCAGTAGGATCCAGACGGCAATTCCAGCAGTAACTTGTCCTATCATTGGAGATTAGAATCATTGTAAGAAAGCAAGGAGGGTATTTATGGTTGATAGCTGCTAACAGGATGTAAAGAAATAAACCAAAATCCTGAAGTTAAGCTTTGAAATGGGTTAAATAAGGGGTAATTCTTTACAATGTCATATTTTGACACAGATGTTCTTAGCTGACAGTGGCTTTTGATGTCTGAAACATCTTTCCTTTAACGTTATCTCCAGTGCCATGGAATTCTTGCAGAATGAAGTTGCTGGCATTGGCGGTGTTGCATCTGTGGGCTAATGAAATGGTGCAGATAAAGCTTTTTTTTTTTTGTCTTTAATGTGTCTGTGTGAAGAAACTCCTGTGTGTTCTAGCTGAAGATGAAAGCTTTGTAAATTTGTGTGCAATCGTTAGTGCTATCAATATCACCTTATTATCAGTAAGATAACTGAATACTTTGCTGCTTTTCCTTTGCTTCTTTCACTTCTCAGTGCAGTATTCCAGCTGAACCTTGCTAATCTGACAGCTCTTTGCTACCGGTCTGGCCGCAGCCGGAGACAGCCTGAGCTCCAAACCTCTTTGGTATTTTCTCTGTATTTGGAGATGTTACGTGATACTTTCTCCTGCGTAACAGAAATCACTAAATCTTGCTAAGAGTTAAAACACAACTTTTCCTTGGGCTCAAAAGCCTCTGCTGCCCCATGGGAGTCTTTGTGAGATGCAGACACTTCATCTTGCCCTTTCCTGGAGAGTAACCTGTCTTAGAAATTCCTTCCACGACCAAGTGTCTGCTGCGAGTGCTGTTTCTGCTGCTGGGTAAGAAGAGACAAATTGTACAGCAGATGCATTCACACACAGGCTGGTGAGGCACTGGCACAGGTTGCCCAAGGAGGCTGTGGATGCCCCATCCCTGCAGGCATTCAAGGCCAGGCTGGATGTGGCTCTGGGCAGCCTGGGCTGCTGGTTGGCGACCTGCACACAGCAGGGGGTTGGAACTGAATGAGCACTGTGCTCCTTTGCAACCCAGGCCATTCTATCATTCTGTGATACCTTTGGGCACTAGGGAAGCTAAGCCATGTAATCCTGGTCATTCCTCCTGTGATGATGATGGCTTTCCCAGGAGACGTCTTAAAAAATTAACAATGTCATTTTCTTTATGAAACTTTCCAAACCTTACTTCAGCCAAGCAGGAGGGGAGCACTGCTCTGATCTGTTTCTGACTTCATCGTGTGTGTGTGCCGTGTGATGCTGGGGGCTTCTCAGACCCTTGGAGGAATCAGGCTGTCCCTGGGAAAGATTGTCTTTATAGCAGTGATAAGATGGAAAGGATCATGGCAGAGACCAAACTGATAAAGGCAGAAATAGTACAAGAAACAGCATGCTGAAGCTAGAATATTTAAAGCTGCATTAGAGGCATCTCTTTTCAGTCTCTTCAGTAGTTACCTTCTGTAGCCAAGTCCTTTAGCTGGTCTTTTCTCTACAGAAGAAAGAGCCTTCCAGAAGCAGGTTCTCCACGCCTCTTGCCCAAGTCCACTTTGTTAATATTGCAAAATTGCAGTCGAACTAAGCTGATTAAATGGTGCTGTAGATTTGACACACAGAAACAATATTGTTAATCTGGCAGCCAAATATATTGCAGGGAAAATGAGGTAAGAGAAAACCATAAATTCTATCCAGAAATTTTTTTTCCTTATTAAAAAACAAAACAACAAAACATGTCTAGAACGTCTTTCTTTCAAAAAAAAACCAGCACTGGAGTGGAGGATATAAGATTTTTTTTTATTTAAGCAGAGAAAGAATGCAAGCACAAGGTAAATTTGGTATTTAAGAAAAGAAAGACCTGTGTTATTACATTTGAGAAGTTTCTTGGAATGATCTGCAGGTTCCATGGGGAAGATCTGCACATGCTGCATACATAGCTGAAAAGGAAGCTGAATTCCTTTCTGTTCATAATGCAATCATCTTACAAGGTATTTTTTATTAGATTAGACCCATGTGACTAAATTGCTACTGATGCCTTTTGTGAATGCTCCTAAATCATCAGCTAAATAGCAGCTGATCTAAGTTTGGCAAAAGGAAGAAATGAAGTTTTGGAAAATGATCTTCTTGTTCCTGATAGCAATCAGACAGAATGGGTTACTTGCATACAGTCTTTTTGTAAAAGCACCATAATAATGGGAGGGCTGCAGATCTTTTTTATGTTAGCAGAGGGAAAAGAAAAAGGTATATCCATACTTTGAGCTTAAACATGCTGTGGATGTTCAGGTTTATATATATGTGTGCGTATAAGTTTTATATATGTGTATTTATATATAAATATATATCAATTATATGGATCTTTAAGGCATACAGCAGGATGAAAAGATTGCTGTCTCCAGTTTTTTTTCTATCATCACTAGAAGCAAAAGCAAAGCATACAGTGCCTTACCTGACCAATTACTGAATTGTTTTCTTCTGTCATTTCCTGTTTAATTCATAGCTTTTGATAGCTATTCTTTGTCTTCAGAGAAATCTTTCCTGTGTTCTAGGGGTCTCCTTCAAAGCAGCACACAGACAATTGAGACATTTTGGTATTTAGGGCATGTCCCCAGCTTTCATCTGCTCTTCCTTACCTTTCATGTTTGTTTTTTCCCATTGTCAGAACCTGCAGTGCTCCGGTATCCCTGGCAGCAGCTGGGAGTGCATTCACTTCAGAGGTGGGTGGTCCTTCTGTCCATCCTGCTTTCCAGACACTGGGGAGAGTACTGGGTGTAGGCCTGGCAAAGTGGGATCAAGCTTATTTATTTGTATACATGCATTAAAAAACATGTTAATTCTTATAGGTAATCTTACTAGCATTCAGTTTGGTGAACATACATCGCTAACAGATAGCAGTATACGTCTGTTAAATCTGATGGGATTTGGGGGCAGCTGTGGTTTAATTTGTTTCTGGGAGTTCTGTCAAAAGCAAAATCCTTTGTAAAGCTGCAGGTGTTAAAATTAGACAAAAATGCTTTCTGTTCTGGGAAATTATATGCACTTACAGCAATTGAATATTGAAGTTGAAATGCAGGGAGAAAAAAAATATCTTAATAACCTGCTAACTATAATTCTGAGATTTCATAGAAACAGATTTCCTGGCCCTTCCTTCTGGTTCCTTTGAATAAATAAAACGTTTACAGATCCATTGAAGCTCCCGTGTAGTGTCAGCCCAACTAGTTTAGCTTTGTTGAATCTGGAAGTTCATTTTGTACGTAAGTTCCTGAGACAGGAGTTTTCCAATTCATCAAGGCTTACTGCAGTGTATGTAAACTTAGTGTTTTAGACTTACGTGTAATGTATGTTAAGTCAGTTACAGTGACCAGGAGTAGTGCTGAGGAGCACAAAACAGTAGCACTGGTAGCACAAGGGGGAATGGCTGCTTACAAGGGTGGATAGCGATAGGACAAGGGGAATGGTTTTAAACTGAGACAGGGGAGGTTTAGGTTGGATATTAGGAGGAAGTTTTTCACACACAGGGTGGTGATGCACTGCAACAGGTTGCCCAAGGAGGCTGTGGATGCCCCATCCCTGCAGGCATTCAAGGCCAGGCTGGATGTGGCTCTGGGCAGCCTGGGCTGCTGGTTGGCGACCTGCACGCAGCAGGGGGTTGGAACTGGGGGAGCATTGAGGTCCTTTTTGAACCCAGGTCATTCTATGGTTCTATGATTCTGTGATTCCATGACTTCGCCTGCTGGTATCCAACACGTGGTACAAAACTTCTGCAGTTTGCACTAATTTTGCCACAGCTAAATGAATGGAAAGATACTGTTAAACTTCTGTTCAACCCCTGTAATATCAGCCAATTAATACAATTTTTCTGTTGCACTTGATTGCCTTTTCATTTCTTTAAAGACAAAATAAACAAGAGGCGTATCTGAAGAGAGATGGATTTATTTTTCTTTTGCTGTGTAATCATCACAGATTCATACATTCTTACATTTCTAGCATTTTCTGCCTCCCCTAAATGTTTCCAGTTGAATTTTGGAGGTGGGTTTTTCCTCAAACAGTTGAGGCTCAGCGCTGTGCCATGTTTTCTGTTTTCAAAGAAAGTCTGCAAGGATGTCAGTGTTGTTACGTGCTGTGTAGTCTCTTCTTTGCAGTTTGAATTTTGTGGCATGATTTGTGGCATTCAGTGTCTGAAAGCTCAAGAACACTGATTATTTCATAATTGTATGTGTCAGTACGTGGTTTTCTCAACACAGACCACAGGTAGAACTTCAGTCCAACCTATAACACCTTTGTAAGTTATGAGTACTGATAGGAGATATTCACGCAAAACCTAAAGCTTTTCTATCTACAGTTCTATAATGCAGTTCCTTCAGACTAGACTTCTATGTTTAGAAAAGTTATTACTGTAACATCAGTTCTCTACAGATTTCCTATAGACAGAGACTGCCCTGGGGCTATAAAATGCTGTTAGGGAGATATCAGCTGCCACAAATTGGAAGCAAATATTTGTGGATCCATCTAAACAGAAGAGAAAGAACGTTGCACTGTGAAGCACAGTAATGCTTGCACGGTTACAAAAAGTATTTTTCTGTCTTCAATCCAGAAATAACAACCAGGAAATATTCCTAATCCCTTCATGCATTTTTCTTGATTTATGTCTTTTCACATTTTCAACAGAACTTGAACCATCTTTCCATTGTTAGAGCAACAAGATTACAGTTGACAAAATCTACAGTCCTATATTTTGTTTCTACCTGTACCAACCATTTGAGGAGGGCACCAAATCACTCTGTTGCAGTTTTTTGCTAGTAAGTTCACAACATTGCCATCCTCACGTGACTTGGGAAATAATCCCACTTTGAGGTATGCAGGTTGTTTGCATGAGTGGTGATGGACATGCAAACTATTTTCGTTTGGATATATGGAAATCTTAAAATGATCAAAAATGGTGTTTTGAGAGATGATTCAAATTTGCTGATGCTTCACCTTCGGTGAGGTCGTATGGCCGATCACTTGGCTCTTAATTTAATATGTTGATCTGCAGAAATATGTACCTGGGTGAGATGTGGGCAGATCTCGTTACTCTGACTTTGAGCTTTGCTTTGAGAACACGTAACTGCTGGATTTATGTCAATGCATTCAATTTCTGCTCTTTAAAATATTTTCATTTTCAAATATGCATACTTAAGCTCTGATACACTTTCCCCACATTGCGGCAGATTTAAGCTTTCTTAAGCTTTGTGTTTTCTTTAAAGTCCTGCAGATCCAGCCTTCCTTCACACCACCACCAAATGGTCTCAAACTCTTTAATCTCTCAGTGCTGTCTTCACTAGGTCGTGTTACTCAGCATTTGTCATCCCTTTAGAATCCCTTTTAAATACATAATATTACACTGAAGGCTCACTTTTTATATATATTTATTTTTATTTTTGCTGCACCTCTTGAAGGAAAAATTTGATACAGTTACACAAGCATTGTGAAAACTGTTGACTCCTTCAGAGGTTACCTGAAAGATCATAGCCCTGATTGTTAGGATACGTGTTGCAATATGTTCGAATACTGTAAAGTAATGAAGTGCAACACTGTATGGACATGAGTCCATAGATTTTTTAATTGAGTAAGAGTTAATGTTCATAATTTATCAAGGCCTTTTTGCCTGGTTTTCTATGCTTTGGTCTTTCAACCTCTCCTCTTCCCTTGTGCCTTCTCTACTTGGTCTGCCTCTCCCAGGGCTGGTGCAGACATTGGTGGGCAGCTAATTCAGGGATCTGGAGGTATAAATTGATTCTGGAGCTTTCTCCTGCTCTCTTGAATGAGGTATAAGATCAGAACATAAAGTTTTCTGGCTGTAGGTGACTAAGAAAGGGAAAAGGATGGTGTTGCAGCAGAATATAATGCCTGTCAGGACAGAGGTGAGGAAAGCACACTTCCTTGGGGTTGGGTTAATAAGATCTTTTGGGTTTTGGTGTTTTTTGGCTTTTTTTCTGTAGTTGGTCCTGTGCCATGTGTATGGTTGTAGTTTTCTGCAGTGTACCACTGAAAGCCTTATGGTTCTCCAGGGATGGATGCACTTTAGACAGTTACCCTCCATGGAGAATTTTACTAATTGTAGAGGTTATACTGTTGAGATTCAAAGAGAGATCAGCTGCTATAGAAATATTTGTAAGGAACCTCTAAAGGAAAGAACTATAGATGCCGTGTTTGGAAAAGAAATGGGACTTAGTTATAATGTAGTTAGATGAGTCTTCTGGAAATGCTCTTTTGCTTCTCAGAGCTCTGAATAGCACTGGAATTTTTATTGTACTGAGAGTGAAGTCCCAGTGTAACTCAGTACAGAAGATACAAAGCTCTAGGTGTTGCTGGAGGCTTCTCAAGGGCTGTGTAGGCTGACCTTCTGCCACGTGCTGATGAGAGAATTAAGGAAGCTTTAAACTTACAATAACATCTCTTTTCTCTAATGCTAATGAGAAAGATCTGTTATATTGGTGTCCATAAAATGGTAAATAACAGTTAAAAACGGGATGGAATTTGTTCTTAGAGTGGTACTAGAGCAGAGTGGTCCATTAAGTGATCACATTAGTTCTTGCTTGCTGGTCTTTGGTTTGATTGCTGGTTTATTTATTTTTTTCCTTCAAACTGTTAAAAATTGAAGCTGCCTTCTCCGCATCGTAAAGCAAAAAGGAAATCTGATGGTTTTCCTCCAAATTCATTTCCAGCTGTTTGCCTTTGCAGCTGAAGTCAGTCATCTCGTAGATCCCAAACCAAGAGGAGGAGGGATCCGTGCTCGTTCTGTGCAGTGCTTGTTGCTGTTGCTTTCCTCTCATCCCACTGATGCGGGGTGTGTGGGGTGGCTGCTTGTGGGCGAGAAGCTGGAAAACAAAGATCTGCTCAGCGCCTTTCAAATCTACTAGTTCTTAAATTTGGCACTTAAAAAAAGACATTTAGAAAAGGCTTTGCTTTTGTGTAGCTGTACACAGGAATGTTATTATGAGTACTGTTTTCTAATGTTTTCTGTGTACATTTAGCTTAGGGTAGAATAATCTTTGTAAGACTGCAAAAACATACCTCCCAGAGGCAGATGACTGATGGAGACTGCAAGCCTTTGTAGTGTTTCTGTGGCAGTGCCTCTTACGTGAGTTCCCTTATCTAAAAGCAAATGGGCTGAGATGTTGCACCTGTTCTAACTAATGGGTTTCTTTTAATACCCAAGCATCCGTATGAAGCTTGAGTATGATTTTCACCCTCGTAACTTAAAGCAAGACATGTAACTTCATCAAAGTTACTTCTGATTTATGCCAAAATTTAGCTCTTTCAAGGAGCTCAATTGCTGAAGCAAATGCAAATATTTAATTCTTGAGGTTTTTGTGTCTTTTGTTTGCGTTTGTGACGCTGTAATTAAAAGCAAACTTCTGATGTGCTATGGATGCAGGCAGCTACTGGGACTGGAAGACGAGTGCGATTTCACCTGGTTGGGACCAGAGTCTTTCCTATGAAATCCCATAGAGGGGCTGGGGAGGGTGTTAATCTGTAATTTTCAGTTTGTTACTTTGTTAAATGTCTGGACAATAGTTAATGCTGTGTCAATAGCATTTATAGCAGAAAATACCCCAAATAATACAGAAATAGAGAGCAGGAATTATTTCCAGTTGGAACAAACGGGAAGCTAACAACATTAGGAAAACATATTGATGTTTTTACATAGCTGTGCAGTAAAATGCTTAGGTTAAAAATAAATCTGACTTAATAGCACCCACGAACATAAAAAATAATGTCTAAAACCAGTGTATTATTTTTGCCCAGTGATTTATGGGCATTGACTTTTTTTATTGTGATGTGTTCAGATGGTTTAGCTTCTTTGAACTTGCTGCTTGGGAATAAATTAGCAAAGTGTATTTGGAGGTTTGGAAAGTTTTGTTTCTCAGAAGATTAACTAAATGTTGAATTGGATCTATGTAAGATGCTTTGTCTTCAGCCCAGGAAGAAATGTAAAAAAAAAAAGAAAAAAGAAAAGAAAATCAAAACAGAGTCTTACATTTGAGCAGAGACATATGCTTTGTGGGTTGGCACCAGACTAGTGTGCAGAATCTTGTAGAACCAACTCTTCATACTCTAAGATATTTAGAGGAACAACATTCAAAGCACGGTGCTAGAGGATTTAAGGAGAAGATAATAGAGTTCCTTCAGATGGAAAATGTCTGCATGGAGATTTCTTGGTGGCTGCCCATTTATCTCTAATGCCATGTAACATTGAGTCCTTTGTGTCAGTGTTAGATGACATACATGAATCAGTTACTGCAAATAATGTCTCCTAAAGAGAAATAATGTTTTACTTTGACTGGTAAATTCACATTGTGGAAGGCAGGGTTGCACTGAATCCTGGCTGCTAAGATGATGATAAAATCATGTGAAGGAAAAAAACCACATGCTTGGGTACTGTGCAGTTAAACGAAACAGGTTCCAAGAAATGTACGAGATTCCCCTGCAATGCCATTCAACACAGAAGAAACTTTTTCCCTTTAATGCAATTCTCCAGTCCCCTTCTGGAAGTCTGCGAGGTTCTGAGAACAAAACTAACATTATCCTTATAATCACAGTTGTGTGTGAGGGAAATATGATGAAATTGGTTCAGAAATAACATCTGTAATGGGAGTAAAGTGGAAATATATGGATTTTGGTTGTGCCAACATTTAGGAAAAAAAAGTATAACTTACTAATACAAAGACCAAGTGAGAATGAGTTACTCAGCAGGCAAAAGAAATATCTGTTCAGTGGTGTTAAAAAATTTGGGGAGATTGGGGTGTGATTCAATGTAAGAAAATGGAAGGCTGAGTTTAGTGGGCAATTGATAGTAAGCCTCACACCACATTACGCGTGCAAAGTCCCTTTTAGGGAAAACAAATCACAGGCTGTGAACCACTTTGAAAATAACAGCTTAAAATGGCACAAAGAAATGTTGCTATTATTTCCCTGTAGTAGCTCCATGTTTCATTTTCTCCCTGTAAGAAAAAGTGTTTTGCTTCAGGTCTAAGTGCAGCTTGCATTTCGAGACTTGCCTGTTGGAAGGTTTGCTTTTTGCTTTGCAACCACTGATAAGCATCAGCCGTGCAGAACTTATTAAACAAATCTGTTGATAGATGCTGTTTTGGCTTCCATACCACTGTAGTCCTCTAGCTGGATTGCTTTGGCATATCCAAGGAGTAAAGGACAGCCAGAGCCAAGCAGAGCTAACAGAGAAAGTGTGTATCATATCTGCATGACTTGTAGGCCAGCTGAAGTAGAAGCAGTCCGTGGAATTCTGTGAAGCTTAGTGTTCTCTTTGCTACAGTAAGGTAGAAAGGTGTTGTATCAGGGCAGAGCAGTCGATGACCTGGCTGCTGTGCCTGCCTACCTCCTTCATCAGCTGCTGCAGCCTTGGGCTGTTGGAAACACTGTTCTGTCCCTCTCCTGCCCCTCAGCCCTTGCCTGAGCCACAGCAGAAGAGCGGTGGCAGTGCGCTTTCAGTTCCTGCACAGCAGTCTTTTAATACTCTAAGAGGGTCATTTTCTATCTGGAATTTTTCCTCCGTATCAACCCATCAATTCCAAGTTTGGCAAGCATCAGAGCGCAGCGTACATCCAATTTCTTCTTCAAATTTTTCATTAGAAAAAAAGAGCTAATGTAACCCTGGTAGCCTGCACAATTTTATTTCCAAGACTGCTCTGAAAGTTATTTTTCTATGAAGATGTTAAAATTCTGGAGAAAGAGAGTTTAAGTATTCAATAACTTGTTTGGAGGAAGAGTGTTGTGTTCTGTTCTGAGAGTTTTGTGTTCTGAGCCAATGGAGGCTGAGGGGTTGGATTGATTTCAGAAAAAAAACATGGAACAATTCAGCTAAAGCGCTATGAAGCATATATCCATTCATAGAGATGAACTGCAGTAACTTTGTGTTTTTGCTCTTGGAGGTGGCTTTAAGCAGCTATGGAAGACCTCTGGTGTGCTGGGGGACCTGGTGCTCTTATCGGCCTTCCACGTGTCCTGGCTACTGACATATAAATCTTCCCAGCTTGCTAATAGATGAAAGACTAAACAGATAAATAATGCTGAAAACATCAGTATGAATGAGTGGCATGTGCTAGCCTGAGTTTTACTGCTGCTCTGGTCAGCCCTGGCTGGAGCTAGTGCAATTTTGCCTCTGCTCCAAGTTGGATTCCTCCGTAACCTGAGAAAGGCTAACCCAAATGGAACCAGCTGAGGGGAGGGTAACATTATTTACAAGATGAAAGCTTTCTGACTTGATTAGCCTCCTAGTTAATGACATCTGTTGCTAAATGTGGACTGAAAGAAGTAATGCAGCATATGTTAGGCTATGGGGATACCGGTGGGGCCTAATGCTGCGTGTAGCAACGAGCAGTCCTGCATCTTTAAGGGGGTTTCTTTAAGCTATTTGTGTTTTGGCTTACCAGAGTTTAGGGAGGTGGCTTAACTTTGCCTGCTTGCTTTGTTGTTGCATGTAAAATAGCCTGCTTCAATGTTAATTTGCAGTTTATGATGGTATTTTTTTGTAATCTTTAAGCCATGGGATGATTACTGTTGTTGTTTTGATATGATAACAGTGGATTTTCTAAATGTGATGTATTGCATTTTAAATATATTGATGTGGCTGAATTGCTGTACTCCTCAGCTAGATAAATGCCTTCCCATGTACAGGCTGTGGGGCTACGTGGTTTTAACAGCACCTCATAAACTCATGCGTTGCATGCAGTACACAACTTTACCTCGTGCCTTCTCAACAAATAAACACAAGATATAAAAACCCCAGGCCTCGCTGCAGCTAACCTGGGTGTACTTTTTTGTGGTGTTTTCCTTCAGATCCTTACTGACGATGGTGATCATTGGAGGTATAAATACTGAAGGATACATCATTTACAGACAAGATCTTTGAAGTTAATTTCCTTCAGACAGCAGTGGTAAGTGAAATGTCCGTGTTGTGTATTTGTACATAAGTAGTGCTTTAGTCCTCAAAAATAATGTATTAACCATAATTAAGCAGCAGCTGGAGTACAAGATTCTGGCCTTGCTTCCGAAAGATGTAATTTTAGCTTATTTATTCTCAAATTAAAAATAAGCTATATGAAAGGTGTGGTTTTTTTTCCGCTGTTCAGTTACAAGAATATGAATCCTTAGCTCATTTTTTCCTCTCTTTAATATGTTATCAATGTGATGTTAGTCACTGTTCTTTCTTCAGCAAGAAGCTTTTTTTGTACCACAGATCATTGGCAATATCTGTGTGATACTGGTCACTGGTACCTTCTGTATTGAAATCTGAAGAGTATTTCAGCATGGAGATTATTTCTCAGAAAATGAGAGTTAAGCAGAACTTTAAAAAAAAAATGGCAGTGCACACAGTAAAACAGTGGCTGGTCTGTGATAGTTTTCAGTGGGATATTAGAGATGTAACTTCTTTTTAATTAGTTATTAGTTAGATACGAGTGTGATGTACACTGTAATTGAACTATTCATTTTGAGCGTGTGGACTTCTGGTGACCAGTGTAACTGTCAGACGTGCAGGAGTTCTTCTATCTGTTTGATTTTTATTCTATTTGTTATGAAACTAACGACGTAAACACTTGAGGTAACACGGAGAGAATATTTCTGTTGTGGCAATAGAGCTAATTTTCCCAGTCATTATCTGCTGTTAATTTAATGTGTGGCAATATCTGAAATTTAGGGATGATTATATGGTAGTAGATTTTTGGTTAGCTGTACAGCTCATCTATGAGCAAACCAATTAAGATGTAATTTCAGAATATAATTGAACTCCTAATGGGGCACTTTAATTCACTTGAAATTTACATATTCGCCTTTTTTTGTTTTAATAGGCAAGTCCAAAATGAGGGTACAGCTTCATTTTTGAACTTATGAATAGAGCAACTTCATCTTAGGCTTTTCAAAATGAAATGTGTAAAATGCTCTTGAATAGGAGGATGGAGATTAATAAGCTGCTTAGTTCACAAAATCAGAACTCTGAATAGCTCTCACTGGCTGTTTATTTGAAGAATAAAACTTGTCTTGTTAGGATGCCATGACGTTACTGATACTCTTTTCACCTGCAGCACAACACCACCTGATGCAGTAGAGTGAAAGCTGAGCCACTTGCTACAAAGTTTGCTCAGCGTTCAGAACTAATTTTCTCCCTTTATGCATGTCTGAGCAGCTGGGATCAGCTGGGAAAGAGCTTGTTCTGCAGATCTCTATTACTGATTTTTCAAGCAGCATGAATAGAAAATTCTTGGAACTGTGTTGTTAGTGTCAGTTTGGCCTGACAGAGGATCAGGGCCGGGACACGCAGGGTCAGGGTACATGTTGCTTCCATATTAAGTACCTCATTTCTGTAGTGTTGGTGATGTATTGCTGTTTAACTTCCTGATGAGTATCATTTTACATAAGTCAGAGGATTTGTATGCAACCTCCCCCTTCTTTTTTCCTTTATCTACTGTGGGATTTTCAGCCCGCATTTAACTGCAAGGGCACTGAAGCAGCGTGTGACTCAGCTCCATGTGCAGTGGACGCTGGCAGATGTATCTGGGCTCAGGCAGCCCTCGTTCCATTGGATTTTGTATCACTTTAGGTTTTTCCAGCTTCTGGATGAAGCAGTAAGAGAACAGCAGACAGGAAAGAGTTAAAAAGTGTGGCATGCATAACTGAATTACGTGACCTAAAACAAGGAAACAAACGATACAAACAGTAGCTGTTTGTTCGAGGAAGGCTCAAATTAAGAAAGAAATGAAGGCAGTTCTCTTTTCTTTCCTTTTCTTTCTTTTCTTTTTTTTTCCCCCAGAATGGAAGACCTTCCTCATATAAAAGTACTGAGCTGAGGGAGATTACTTATACCTATGTGATGCTGAGATAAATTTTGTGGTGTTGTTGCTGCTGTTTCCTTCAAGGATAGCCTCTGAATATGTTTCAGTTGCTTTAAACTGGGGAACTATCACGCTTGGTAAAGGAAAACTGGGGAGTAAATATCAAAGTTAGCACTTGGGTTAGGAAGAAATGTTATTTGTTTGTGAAAAACTGGGATGAGGAAACCTCGTCTGCAAGGTTAATGTTTTACTGCTTATTTCCCTGAAGCTTTAATACATACCTGTGTGTGGATAGAGGTCAGAAAACTAGAAACAAAAAGCATTTAGCCCTTATTGTAAATACCTTACATTTTATTTTGCTCCTGTTTTGCCTACCATTACTAGACTGATCACAGCTGTGTAGGTACATGCAGGCATTGTTTCTATTTCATTTGATCTATTTTTAAATGTAGGGGCTCTTTGTATTTAATACGCATTACTGTGCTTGCAGTCTTAATACTTCAAAACCTTAGTGACCTTGCTTCACCCTCTTGTACCTTGCACATTATCATGCAGTCTTTCATTATATGATAACATGCTATTTTTCCCCCTGGAAGGAAATCCTTGCATTACATAGGTGTCATTTAATCAGTAAGGAGCTATCTGTTATTTTTAATTGTTCTGTGTGTGGTTCCAGAACTTCTGTACCGTATAATTTTCAAACCTTGCTATGAAGATAGAATTAGGAATTTGCCTTTGTTCCTTAATGTCGTTTTTAGCATCAGGTTTTCTCACAGTCCTTCTGACAAAAGGGACCCTGTCTGTGACTCCCAAACCTTCTGCAGAAACATTTTTTGCGAGCTCTCCTTGCCATCCCTTTGCTGGGCTGCTGGGTTCATTTCAGGAGCTGCAGATCCCCAGGGTACTTGCAAGAAGATTCTTTCATCAAGAAGAGAGCAAGAGCAATGGCTCTTCATGAGAAGTGTAGGAAGCGGAAGGTCTGTGGGTCTAGGCATCTTGCTTTTTCTTTTCCTGTTTCCCCTTCCATTTTCCTTGGTATCTAGCTTCCCACTGAGCCATTCTTATCATACCCCAGCTTCCCGCACACCTCTCGTCCCGTCTCTCTGTCATGTAGGTCTGCCTTGTCTCTATTTTCTTCTCATTCAAGTAATTTCTGATGCCAGCTAGTTTCTTTTCCAAGTTCGTTATCCATTCTTGCACAGTACCATTCTTCCTTGTTTCATATTCTTTCCCAGATTACAATACCATTCTGGCTCCAGATTTGCACCCCTGTTTCCCCATGATACACTGGCAGCAGTGTATCTTCTGCTCCTGGTGCTGTTCTGGAAAGTTTCAAACAACCCTGGACAGCAGGCAACTTTCTGCCAAATTGTGTCCTTTCTGGAGTGCAGTTATGCATTGAAATTGTACATTTCAAGAACTGTATGTTTCAAACAGCTTAGATTGCATAGTAGAAGACAGTCTGGAATTTATGAGCCTTTTTAGTGCACATATAGTGGTGTTAGCATGAATACTGGATTTTCTCATCCATAAACTGAGATGGGACTTACTGATTTGTGCTATTTATTTCAACATGTGAAGGAAACCAGAATTACATGTTACAAGTCCTCATTATTTTTTTTTTTCTTGTTAATCACATAGAACGGAGCAAAAATGTATCGGAGAAATACAGCATTAATAAAATAGACTGGTTATGCAAGCTTCAGAAGTATGAGCGAGGCTTACATCTGTTGCTTGGTTTTATCTTTTTAAACAGTGAGTGGAAAATTCTCGTAGCTTGATAGAATTTCATATTGGGCAATAAAATGATAGATGTGTTTAGTCCCATGTGCCATCTCCAGCTGCATGCCATGTAATGTAGGCTTTGAGAACTTTCTGAGCCGCGTAATTCTGAGACTCGTGATACATCTGGGTACAAAACCAGGCCTCACCATCCAACCTTCAGAATTTATCAGACTGTTTAATTATGCTGAAGTATGTAACGTATGACTTGGCGTTGCATACACAGTCCTTCCCTAAATAGTTTTTCTTAGAACTGTGTCATTATTAATGTTTTGACTGCAATTATTCTGAGACAGAAAAGGAGCAGTGTTATGCTGCATCATTTTTCTCTCTGGAGCAGCCTGCAGTTCAGATTTGAGGGACAGCTTTTCCAGAGTATTCCTTAAAACGGAGCCCATTTGTCATTCTCACAGCCCCGATGTTTTTCTGGGAGCACTCAGTTCTCCACGTCTCTCTCATCTTTTATTATGAAATGGTGTTTTTTTTGTGAACGTGGAAGATATTTTCTGTCATGCAAGATGCAAAGCAATTAAGCTATCTTCAATTTAAGAAAGAAGAAAAAAAAAACCATACTAAATTTGAAAGTTGATTCTACAAAATTTTTGAAAGAATATATTTCTGTATTATTACTCTATAATGTCAATACTTTTGGGTACATTTTAGAGCCAAAATTTACTGTATGCTTTAAATATAATTGATTTAATAAGCCATTCTCTGCTTTAGCAGAATATTTTTGCCAAGTGTTTCCCATTTCACCAGAGCAGTGAGTTTGCTTTCAGTGATCCCCTTTTCTTCTATCCAGATCAAATACAGGCTGGTGTTTTATTGTAACACACTGTAAACAAATACTCCCCACTGCAAAGGCTTTCCATTTTGTAACGCTGCACTAGAGAACCCCCCAACACATGTAAATATCTTCAGACATTTTTTTTTGTTAGTAAATGAACCAAACTCAGTGGTTTAATTGTAATCTCAATGTAAAATCTGTAGGTAATGCAAAAATTTATGATACTGAGGTAATTCTCTCTCAGTAGTTTTATAGAACAGCTGTTTGAACTCATCTTATTTGTTGTATACCTTTTCTTACCAAAATCAGATGTGCATGCCTATGGCTTTCGAATTAGTTGCCTGAGAGCTAGCTTCATTCAGTCCCAGTGACCTGCAAGTCATCAGAAGGTTTTGGTTTCTTTTATTATTTCTGTCCATGATATGAGATAGTTGTGAAAATGATAATCCTTATATTTTCCTGTAGCGTTTGGAAAATTTAAGTCACTTCATCTTTCTTTGTCCTGCGAGAGCTGTGTGTTTAAAATAACAGCTGATAG